ATAAATGGGGTTGTAAAAGAAGTAAATGCTAGGGTGTTGGGGAGAGGAGTGGGATTAAATTATGGGGAATCAAGTACAAAATGGGAGTTGACACATTTACTGTTTGCTGATGATACTGTGCTTATGGGAGATTCTAAAGAAAAGTTTCAAAGGTTAGTGGACGAGTTTGGGAGGGTGTGTAAAGATAGAAAGTTGAAAATGAACATAGATAAGAGTAAGATGATGAGGGTATCAAATGATTTAGATGAAGAATAATTGGATATCACATTGGAGAGAGGGAGTATGGAAGAAGTGAATATTTTCAGTTATTTGGGAGTTGACGTGTCAGTGGATGGGTTTATGAAGGATGAGGTTAACCATAGAATTGATGAAGGAAAAAAGGCGAGTGGTGCGTTGAGGTATATGTGGAGACAAAAAATGTTATCTATGGAGGCAAAGAACGGAATATATGAAAGTATAGTGGTACCAACTCTCTTATATGGGTGTGAAGCTTGGGTTGTAAATACTGCAGCAAGGCAGTGGAGATGTCCTGTCTAAGGGCAATGCGTGTGGTGTAAATGTTATGCAGAGAATTCGGAGTGTGGAAATTAGGAGAAGGTTTGGAGTTAATAAAAGTATTAGTCAGAGGGCTAAAGAGGGGTTGTTGAGGCAGTTTGGTCATTTAGAGAGAATGGATCAAAGTAGAATGACATGGAGAGCATATAAATCTGTAGGGGAAGGAAGGTGGGGTAGGGGTCGTCCTTGAAAAGGTTGGAGGGAGGGGATAAAGTAGGTTTTATGGGTGAGGGGCTTGGACTTCCAGCAAGCATGCATGGGCGTGTTTTGGAGTGAATGGAGATGAATGGTTTTTGGGACCTGATGAGCTGTTGGAGTGTGAGCAGGGTAATATTTTGTGAAGGGATTCAGGGAAACCAGTTTTTTTTATATAGCAGGACATGAGTACTAGAAATGAGAAGTACAATGCCTGCACTTTAAAGGAGGGGTTTGGGATATTGGCAGTTTGGAGGGATAAGTTATATATCTTTATATATGCTTCTAAACTGGAGTATCTAGGTGCCTCTGCGAAGACAGTGATTATGTATGAGTGAGGTGAAAGCGTTGAATGATGATGAAAGTATTTTCTTTTTGGGGATTTTCTTTCTTTTTGAGTCACCCTGCCTCGGTGGGAGACAGCCGACTTGTTGAAAAAAAAAAAGTGTGTGCGCGCGCGTGTATGTGCATGTGTACGTGCATGCTCACATACATACATTCAGTATATAATACACATGTATATGCATATAAATATATGCATGCATGCATATTTACATGTTAAGAAATGAGGTAAAGTGCAGAAGAATGCAACAAGTCATGCTCCTATGCTGAAGGGCATGAGCTATGAGTATAGACTAACAGAATTGAATCGAATGACATTGGAGGACAGAAGAACCAGGGATGACATAATAACATAATATTCAGGTGAATTGGTAAGGTAGAAAAGGACAGGCTGTTTGAAAGGCAAGAAGCAGGTACTTGGGGACAGCTGGAAATTTAAAGACACAGATGAGCCACTGGGATGCTAAGATACTTTTCTCAAGAGTGGTTGGGAAGTGGAATGAATTTGGTGAGAAAGTAGAGGATTAAGAATGGAGGGTGACAAGTAAGAGGTGTGACCAGGATCTGAGAATTAACCCCTTCAGCCACAAATAGGTGAGTGTACACACACACACACACACACACACACACACACACACACACACACACACACACACACACACACTCACACACACACACACACACACACACACACACACACACACACACACACACACACTCTCACACACACACTCTCACACACACACTCTCACACACACTCTCACACACTCACACACACACTCTCACACACACTCACACACACACTCTCACACACACACACTCTCACACACACACTCACACACACACTCTCACACACACACTCTCCACACACACACACCACACACACACACACACACACACACACACACACACACACACACTCACACACATACACACTCACACACATACACACTCACACACACACACACACTCACACACACCCTCACACACACCACACTCACACACACACACACCACACACACACACACACACACACACACACACACACACACACACACACACACACACACACACAATCTCACTTTCTCTCTCTCTCTCTCTCTCTCTCTCTCTCTCTCTCTCTCTCTTCTCTCTCTCTCTCTTCTCTCTCTCTCTCTCTCTCTCTCTCTCTCTATCTCTATGGTATTTAGCTGGATGCCTATTTCAATTAAAAGTTTTAATTACTTTTTGTGTAATATTGATAAAGGGTGTTTTAGAGTTATACCAAAAACAGGTAAATTGTTTACATGTGTATTTTGGTACAGTTTATTAATTTTACTGTTAAATTATCCAGATGTAATGATGTTTTTTGTTTTCATCATTTTCAGAGTTTTGTCTGATGTGTGAGTAGGAATAAATGTAGCTTTGTTCATTTATGCCATTCATTGGTAATAAAAATGTATGGCCCACTTTGTGAATAGGCTGTTTTACAAATTATTTAAAAGTACTTGAGTATTAAAATTAACAGTATTAATAATATACTTTGCACTAAACTGGGTGATTATCCTGTTGAATTCACTGTACAAGTGGTGTACAGGTACTTCTTCAAGCTATGCCATCACACATTCCAATGTGCAGACATTCTGGGGAGAATCATGAGAGAACTCTACATGACTACTACTATATACTCTATGTGCATGCATGTTTCTGTGTATGGGTTCTGATGATCCACTAGGAATATAATCTATCACTCATGACCTCTTAAACCACCAGTTTCATTAGTTAAGTGACTTTCATACTTCTTGTCATATGTGCTAAATACATTGGTTTTGCAGGTTTGGATTTTAAAGATGAGACATTACCATAGCACTTCATTTAAAATTCATGAAGACATATTCCACTGAACATACTGTATTTTCAAAAATATTCCAATGGTGGGTTTCATTTTGAGGGCCAAAAGCCAAACCATAAGAAAGCAGGTACCACTTTCCTCCACACATAGGCCTGCCTGAAAGTTTTGCATTCTCATATCCCTCCCCAGAGTTAAAAAATTTGTTATTTAGAATATTAATAAGTCCCTCAGTGATTGATAATAACTAACTTTAAATATTAGATAGGTTAAAATAGAAAAGCACATAAACAGATTAACTAAGAAATATACCTCAGGGGATGGGGATGGAGGGATGCCAGATAATTTGGTTGAGGTGCATTTCATGATACATGTGATGTAAAATACCTGTATCCCCAAAAGATGAATATAATTAAGTCTGGGTATAGGATCCATGGGAGTGATGACTGCTTCTTAGGTTAAGCAGCTCATGGCATTGGGGGAAAAGTACTGTCATGGATCGAGTCATGGCTCGCCAATAGGAAGCAGAGAGTATGCTTAAATGGGGTTAAATCCAAGTGAGGATCTGTAACAAGTGGCTTTCCACAGGGATCAGTCTTGGGCCCATTGTTGTTTATAATATATATCAATGACCTTGATGAGGGAATTACTAGTGATATGAGCCAAATCGCCGAGGACAGAAAGATAGATAGGATAATTGATTCAAACGTAGATGTCGCGGAACTTCAGGAGGATTTAGACAAACTCAATTCCTGGTCAGAAAAGTGGCAGATGCAGTTCAGTGTAGATAAATGCAAGGTTCTGAAGCTCTGAAGTGTCCATAACCCTAGTACTTATCAGTTAAATAACTTAGCCATACAGATTGCAAAAATGACTTGGGAGTGATGGTAAGCATCAACCTTAAACCAAGACAGCAGTGCCTAAGCGTACGTAACAAAACAAACAGATTACTGGGATTTATATCTAGAAGTGTAAGCAACAGAAGTCCAGCAGTTATTTTACAGCTTTATACATCATTAGTAAGGCCTCACCTAGATAACGCAGCTCAGTTCTGGTCTCCATATTACAGAATGGATATAAATTTGCTAGAAAACATCCAGTGTAGAATGACCAAATTAATACATAGCATTAGAAATCTTCCGTACAAAGAACGATTGAAGACTCCTAAACTACATTCATTTGTAAGATGAAAAATGAGGGGAGACATGATCGAAGTGTGTAAGTGGAAGATGGGTATTAACAAAGGGGATATAAATAAGGTTTTGAGGATATCCCTTCAAGAAAGAACCCACAATAATGATTCAAATTAGATAAGTTTAGATTTCGAAAGGATATAGGAAAGTATTGGTTTGGAAATATGGTAGTTGATGAGTGGAACAGTCTGCCTAGTAGGGTTATTGAAGCTAAGACATTGGGTAGTTTCAAATTTAGGTTAGATAAATACATGAGTGAGAGGGGTTGGATTTGAGTGAGACTTACATAATGAGTAAATAGAATCATCAAAACTTATTTCTTGGGTAGCATTGAAAATTGGATTGGGCAAATATTTTGTTAGTGGGAAGGATTGTAAAGGACCTGCCTAGTATGGGCCAACAGGCCTGCTGCAGTGTTCCTACTTTCTTATGTTCTTAGGATGTACAGTGCAGTATTTCAGTAAAAGTTTTAAAATGTTTCTTTAAGTTTTTAAAATTGGAGGTGCTGTAAAACCTCTATGGGTTTGGCACTTCCTCATAAATATATGACTATTACTACTACTACTATTAACATTATAAGTCATCTTCAATAGTTGTACAAAATTATAAGTGAAACCACCCTGCCAAGAAAGAGTTTCCGAATTAAACGTAGTGTAAACAATGTACTGTAGATAAGAATCATGTTACTACTTGATATAGTGATTGCTTTAACCAAGTGATAGTCAAATCAACATATGTAATTTGTGAACAAATACTTGAAGTTTTTCACATTTCTTAAGTGCTTAAAAGGACATTTGAAATGTTAAGAAAAGATTTCATACGAACCCCTGTTTAAAAAGGAATTTCTCCACGATTCAAGACATGACATCAAAGTTAAAAATTTATTGGAATCTAAATTCAAAATGTTCATTCCCTTAGGTGATTCCGAGCGGAAGTCTGCATCTGTTTCAAGAAGTTCCTCGATTGGATCATCCCAATCGCACTCCCGTCAAATATTTTCTTCAGGACCCACACGCCCTCCTTTCCGGATTCCTGAGTTCCGATGGTCCTACATTCATCAGAGACTATTGTCTGATGTTCTCTTTTCTTTAGAAACTGACATGCAGGTTTGGCGAAGGTATGTTAAAATAAAGGCAGGAGTATTATTTATTATATTGTTTGTTTTATGAAATTTAGTTCACATGGTATTCCTATATGCATGAGTTTGTAAAGTAGTGCTTTACAAACTCAAACTTATTAAAAACTATGTTGTATAGTTTAGACATAAAATAAAAAAAATATTTATAGATGATCAAGAATGATTAAAATAGACGAGGGTATGTCGGACGGATAATAGTTTATATTGAGTTAACAGAAATATACAAAAGGACGTGAAAACCATTTACCAGTTGAGAATAATTTTTGCCATACAGTGCATGGTTAATTATAAAGTGCCATAGTCCATGCAACAAAGAAGGAAGGTAGAGAGGGAATCCATCTTCTCTATCTTTTTACTAAAGGCCAAATGCCTGTCTACTCCACATTAATCAGACATGGAGTAATTGTGATATACTGTAATTACAAATAAGGAAAACTGAGAGTGTGCTCTTGGGAAAACATGGCTAATATCTGTTCTGCTGTTCTGTATTATTAAAATTTCTTCTGTGTGCTTGTTATGCTTATAAATTTCATCTTTTATAAATGTCTGAAATTTTTATACATTTTTTCTTAGGTTCATTGAGGTAGCAGTTGAATGCCTCGACATAAATTGCATTGATGATATTTTGAATATGCATTTATTTATTTTTGTTTTTAACACAAAATAAGTGTTTAAGCCTTGTAGAAAAGATTTTCATATTTTCTGCCTGTTGTAAGAGGTAACTAGAATGAAACAAAGGTCTGAAAGCCTCCTGTCTTGGTGTGCCTGTTCCATTTCAATAAGTTGGGAATGGAGTAAAAATAATAATAAAAGTAACATAGAGCCAACTTGAGTCTCAGATGACAGTTTTCATTCATACAGGTATAATGCTTTGCCTATCTAAGAGCTGTAACAATTCAGTTTGAAATCAAAACAATGTTTTCTCTTGCAGCCACTCAACAAAAAGTGTTTTGGACTTTGTCAACAACAGCGAGAATGCCATCTTTGTTGTGAACACTGTCCACCTCATCTCGCAACTGGCAGATAACCTCATTATTGCATGTGGAGGTCTATTGCCTTTGTTGGCCTCTGCTACCTCTCCCAATGTAAGATTTTTAATGAAAAGGCAATATAATACTATGTTTGTGGCAAAAATTGCCACTAGTCAATAACATCCTATTAAAAGCATGGATTAAATTTTTACTAATCATGTAGCTGCTTCCATCATAAGATGGAAGTGCCCATGCAGAATTTTCCGTAGATTTTACAGTCACTGCTTATTATTGCACTCTAATCAGTAGTAGCGCAACTTTCACCTTTTACCCCCCACATGCATGAATATGCTTCCTTCAACTATTTATCTTCTACAGGTACATTAATCTAGTCATTATATTGTATAAATATGTTTCTTTTTCTGGTCACCCTGCCTCGGTGGGAGACGGCCAGCGTGTTAAAAAAAAAATGTATAGTACTGTACTCACTGAGTTCTGTTATTCATTACTTTATATCCTAATGCCACTTAACTATTATTGTTGGCAAGTTCTTTGAAGTGATTACCTCTTTGTACCTCTTTGTAGTTACAGGTGTAGAGCTATGCTCATGGTAGAGAATCCCATCATCAGTGTTTAGAATGCCATAGTAAAATTTTATGAAGTTGCCAGTGGTTTTAGCACCAATCCACAAAGGTGAGGCTCCCACTGTTATAAACAACTGCAGGAAAATTTCTTGCCTACCAATGCTACAAGAAATCTCTGAAAAAATAGTACAGAAATTAATATGCTCCTAAATGATGAAGTAATAATAATAATTATAATAATAATTATTTATATTCATTATACATAATTGTGGCAGATTTAATTGAAAGCCACTGTACAGTATTGTGCATGAACTTAGAATTAAAATTACTTAACACTAAAAGAATTTATAGTTGCAGAATTTTTTATGCTTATTGGTCTAGTAAAAAGTTTTGACAAGAAGTAAGTAAAAATAGTTAACATTGTAAGCCTTGTCAATTTGTTCATAGAGTAATATATTTCTTTTTGTTAAATGATTTGTATAACTTAGAAAGATTATTGGGGAGAGTACTAATCGTTGGGAATATTATGCTGATAGCCACAAGCTTGGCTCCCAGAGCCAAGACTTGTATTGTATCATGCCATGGTTCAGGAGCTGAGCTCCTGGAGTCATGGCTTATATTTGCTATTACATCCCCTTGCATAAATGTCTTAGTTAAGGCATATGTATTCTCTGGATATGGAAGCCACAGGTGCTGGTAAATACTCTAACCACAAATTCACTGTCGACTAACCATTCACTGTATGCATCTTGTGCAGATACTGAGAGAGTACTGTATATTACAGTAAATAAAATATTTATGGTACAGTACTTAATCTCCTTCATAAAAAACATACTACAGATAGGAAATTCAGTTTTGTAAATTGGAAAGGTTCCATATTATTCATTAGTATTTGTTGCACATAGTCTTATTTTTTGTTTGATTAGTTATTCTAATGGGTTTGGCATTTATGTACTTGTTCTTGTGTACACGAGTATCTTGACAGGATGTTAGCCCGTAAACGGTCCAAACATACATACATGTTTCCTACCCCAGTGCCCCAAATATTTTGAAAAATAAAATAATTTTTAATGAAAATAAAGAGCACATTTTTCTAAGCGTTATAGGATTAAAATAAAAAAATTAGGGTCAGTACTTACTGAGATACAAAGCTGCAAAGTTGGCACTTAATGCTCACCTGACGGTAACATAGAGTCCTGCTGCTTGCAGAAATGTTGCCGATGATACCATTTTTTCTCATTTTTATATTATTTTATATAATTTTTATGTTCTGATAATTATAATTTATTGTAGTTCTTGCCATTTCATAACCAATCTTTATTCTGACACTAATATTAGGTATTGAAATTATACTCAGATTGTCACAAACACATTGACAGGTGGACATTTACAACTGCCTTGGTCATTTACTATTGTCTAGGAATATATATAAAGTATTTATAGGTCCCAGCAATGTTTTGGATACACAGGAGTATAGAAGAAGGAGGAGGAGGAAGGAAGAAATTCTCTTGAATTTGACAAGTGTTCAGTGACAAGCATCTGGGAGGGCAGTGATAAGATCAGATATGAGATGATATTTGATGGGCTCCAGCAGGGTGCAGAGATGAGATAGTGCAGAGATAAGAGGAGATAAGCTATGAAATTTGATGGGCACCAGCGAGGGTGCAGAGATAAGGGATGACATTTGATGAGCTCGTATCTGATTATCTGTCTCTCTGTCTTATTTCTGTCTGCTTGTCTCTTTCCGACTCTCTGCTTGTCTCTCTGTCTGTCTCAGAGAGAGCCACTGTAAACCAATATGTATTCTTATGCATTATATCTACAAGCACAGTATTTCACTTTGGATTTTTTAGGTTATCCTAAGTAATTTACACTATGTATAATTGTATTTGTGTGTACCTGTGAGACAGAGAGATAGACAGACAGAAATAGACAGAGATAGATAGACAGACCCTAAACTTGGGGTTAACATCACTTTCCTCTTAAAAGGGGAGTGTTAATGTGACATTACATCAGTGAATCCTTAGTGTTTGCCCCACTGTTTGCTCTAGCTGGTGCTCAATATAACTGGCACTCCCACAAGGTACTAAGTGGTCCCAAATTTTTTTAAAATGGTGCACACTGAGTGTTAAGACCCATTCTATGCTGACCAGGCATCTCAGGCCAGTCATGCCAAATTTGGAGGCAGGAAAAATAAAACATATATTTACGTTTGGGGCACTAGCGGGTAAGAACGTATATATACATTTGGACCATTTACAGGTTAATATCTTGATTCTGACTATATGTTCTTCCTACCTTTGTTCAATATTTTTTTCAGTAATGTATCACAATTTTTTTTTGTTTTATAAAGCTTCTCACTACTTTACACCCTTTAATGCTTGCTTTCATTTAATTTTCATATTATCCTATGATCTTTGTTGCACTCAGATTAGAATATCTGCAGTGTAGCTTTAATTAGCCTTATACTTCTTCCTAACCTTTATCATGTAGCCTCATTTGTCATTATAGTATTTGAAAAAGCTGAATATGCATTTGTAGGTACAGTACTAGGCAGTACTCATACTTTTGCCAGTAAGCTTAATCACACACGCTAAAGGAGCACATCTAAATGTTTAAGCTACATTTTGGATGCATTGGGAGTTGTAATATGGATAATTAAAAGACTGTACAGTAAATTACTGTACTATATTTCTGAGCAAGACACAATTCTAAAAATTCTTAAGCCAGTGTTATCTTTAAGGGAATCTCTAGTGTTCTGATGCATTAATACATTAATACTTTAGAAGATCCTTTTTAAGGCACTAATAAAACTAGTAACTAGGATATGTTTTAACTTATTCCACAGGACTTGTTTACTAATAGTGTATTTAGATCATAAGCACAATGGGGCATTTTTCTTTGTTAACCATTATTTTTCAAATGAAGTAATATTAATGACCATACTGCTATGACTTGTGTAATGTATAATATCGTAGCAGTTGCTCATTTCACTAATTTATCTTGCTGTCTCGTGTCACTATTACCATGCACTAACTTCCTTCATTGATAATTTTAGTATCTTAATTTTTACCATCATCCTAGGCACTTTTTTTTACACAATTGATTGGCACTACTATCTATTTTCTGTTTGTCTGTAATAACTTTTTTTATGAGATATCCTGGATAACACATAATGCTGAGGATGAGCCAAATATCCTGTTATGTGACTAATTATTTTAGATGTTTATTATGGAATTTACAAACATGAGATGTGCTAAATAAGGAGAAAGACTATATTACATAATGAACATTTATATTTGTACCCTGAAAATTCAAATTTATTCAAAGTAAAATATGTCTACATTTTTGTTCTGCAAAATGTACTTACCAAAGTGTTCTAGCCCATCTATTTGTTACAAATGGTATAACTTTACTGATAACAGCAGGATAGGATGATATAAAACAAATCCCAAAACCAGCAGAAAATAAGTTAAACTAGCTTATAATAGAGACAAAAAAAAAGCATCCCTCATTTATGCATCAGACTGATACCTCCATAACAGACTGATCACTATAATGCTGCCAAATGGAGGTACCACTCACATCTCCAGTTTAAGCCTTCTTATTATAATTCCATTAAAAACTATATATTCTAGCTATACCTTTCAGCAAAAGTAGGGTAAAAATTCCTCCTTGCAGAACTGTCAAGTTCTTCCAGAGCTGCAATATAAAACATGGGTATAATGCAAAAAAATCAACACCTCTTTCATATCCTTCATGTTTGACTGAACTTAAGTAAAAATTCAGAGTAAATGAAAGGCCAAAACATATGGAACAGTATACCTGAATATTTTAAAACTGTAAAACAGTAAACATCTTCAATATAAATATCTTAGTGTCATGAAAGCTCAGCTGTGGAAGATAACAAAGTGCTGTATTATACATAAAGTGACCAGACCATTATGTATACTTCACAGTGGTTTGTCATATTATGACATTCATGCTCTAAATTTTAGCAATGTTATATTTTGTCAGCCTTTTATAAACCTGACTCTGGCTTTTAAAATAAGACAATATTTTTATATTGTATGAAGTCTTTATTTTAATTTTTATTTGATTTACATGTAAATCCCATTTCAAATTGGATTAAATTCTGCAAATATACTATATCTGTGCATTACATTATTTCTAAGTTTTTATTATTGTGAACTATTGCTATTCATCATTATTACACTTCCCCCAATTTTTTTATATCAAGCTTCCTGTCGAAATTCTAACCTTGTTAGTTTTAATTCTAATCAAAATGATGTGCTGGCCTTTTTTATATGTACATAAATTGTTAACCCTCATCTTAGCACATGAATTTATCCTAAGGAAACTAGCATTGTTCATTTATTTATTTACAGTATTTATGAATGTCCTTATTTACTTATTTGTCTGATATTTTTGTTTGTACATTGGTAAGGTTCCTAATGTTTTCCAGAATGAATTGGATGTTTTAGAACCTACACAAGGCATGGGAGTGGAAGTTGCAGTCTCATTTCTGCATCGATTAGTAAATATGGCAGATGTGCTAGTGTTTGCTTCCTCCCTTAATTTCTCTGAGTTGGAGGCTGAAAAGAACATGTCGAGTGGGGGCATTCTTAGACAATGTTTACGCCTGGTGAGTAAAAATCTCTTTATTTTAAATTTACAGTATTATTTGTTACAATAAACATGGATGTTAATTTATGTAAATAGGCAAATTTATCTCCATGGGGAAGTGGAACAGAATTCTTGCTCCGTAAGCCATGCATGTTGTATGGCGACTAAAATGCCGGGAGCAAGAGGCTAGTAACCCCTTCTCCTGTATATATTACTAAAGTTGAAATGAGAAGCTTTCATTTATCTTTTTTGGGCCACCCTGCCTTTGTGGGATACGGCCGGTTTGTTGAAAGAAAGAAGGCAAATTTATAATGTCTTATAATTAAATGTCAAATTGTTATATACAGTACTTGAGTATTCATGCATAAACAAAGCTCTGTAAAATAACTTTCCTCTTTTCCTGGTTGAAATTGAAAAGCTCTTACATGCTTATTATTAATTTTTTGCTATTATAAATGTAATGTTTTCTATAAATCTAGGTTTGCACAGTGGCTGTGAGAAATTGTCTTGAATGTCGTGAGCGAACACGGCTTCAGGATGTAAATGGTGCTGGTGGTAATGGCATCAAACCTATTAATAAATCTCGACACATTCACTCACTCATAAGAGGTGCTCAGGCTTCTCCAAAGGTGAATATATAAAATATTTTATGCACTGTAATTTTGGTTAATTAAAATCATTTGTGATTTGGTCCAGGATGAGCCAAAATATCATAAAATGTTTCTTCTCATAAACTTGTGTTTTTTAGAATTTGTTCCAAGCACGATATTGCGACTTCATGATTGTAAATAGAATTATGATGAATGTAGCTAGACTTTAGTGCTAGAAGTGAAGGAAGAGTGAGGATGTTGAAATTAGAGGATAATCTGACTGTCAAGTCAGCACACTTCTGGATTATAGTGATTAAATGAATATTGGTGAATGTGTTTTCTTTTTTGAATCACACTGCTTTTGCTGTAGATGGCTGTTAAGTTTAAAAATATTGTATTGAGGATTATTTTATTTAAAAGGTAGAAGGAAGTATGTTGAAGTGTTATGTTTCGGTCGTGAATGTCAAGTGGCATTGTGGATGATGCACACGTCGCTCAGTTTGTCAAGTTAGGCAGCAGTGGGTTTAGCCACTAAATTGATTAGCAACTGCATGAACACAGCCTAACCCTTGGACACAAGGGCCTTGATAATGCATACAGATCTTATTTCTTACAGGGTATTCCAATCCATACATTTATGGGCTTAAACCTATGGTTTGATAAGATAAAGATATACAGCAAAACCTCAGATTAATGGACCCCCATTTAAATACAGATTTCAGAAAAACAAATTGGCCTGACAAATGATGGAATCATTGGACAAAATGGAAAAAGTTCATAGATTCTGGATTTTGTCTATAGCTATAGTGTCTGGTAGTCTTCTGAATCAACAGACCTAGTCTGATGATTCCGTCATTTGTTCAGTACGGGCCAGAATATGCTCGTTTAGAACCTGCCTGTTTTTGCTGTTACCAAACCATAGACCATCCTTGTCAGTTTGTCTGTGCTCACTCATGCATGCACTCATCGTTCTGTCTCCAGTTTTCCCTGGATTTACAGTGTTTTCGGTGACTTTATTAACATCTTAACCCTTTGAGAGTCGGTCATGTACATGTACATCTTAACAGCCGGGGTCGGTCACGTAAATTCTAGTGCCTTCAAATCTGGTGGAAGAAAGCTGGTAGACCTACATATGAAAGAATAGGTCTGCATGGTCAGTGTACACAGTATAAAAAAAGTCCTGAACCACACAGTGCATAATGAGAAAAAAACTCTGACCATGTTTTTGCTTTAAAACAGCAACTTTGCAGTGTATTTTCATGTGGTATTTATGGTTGTATTCTCGTTTTCTTGGTCTCATTTGATAGAATGGAAGATATGTTACAGAAATAGAGATGATTTTTATTGGTTTTGTGATGAAAAGTACCTTGAAATTGAGCTCAAAGTAGTGGAAATGTTTGATTTTTTCCTGATGTTCAAGAGTAAACAAATCATGCCATGCATCCAATACATGTTGTGAGTCTAATGTTCTTTCACAAGTGTGCTGATATTATTTATTCCATTTTTACAATAATGCAGTAGTCTACTTAACAGTAAATCTTCTAATTTGTGAGAAAAAAAATTCAAAATGGAAAGCAAGAGTAATATAAGAGGGGCCTGGAGATGTGACTAATGAACAGAGAAAATGTTATTTTAGTGCCAGGAATGTCTGTCTTGTTTATTCTGGACCCTATTTTGAAATTGGCATCTTTTGAAATTTGTGTGAAATTGGCCAAATTGCCAATATTTGACTACTTTATTGGGTAGTTGAAATCAGTAAATGGGTGGTTTCTTCTACTCAGTCTATACAATAAATAGAGTTCTGGCGAAACAGCTGTAATCTTAGTTGACTGGAACATTGAAATTGGCCGAAAATAGGGCTCAAAGTTGGCAAAATCACCGATGCGTAATTATCGAGACTGCTATCTTCGCGAGAGCATAATTCTATAAGTTTTTCATCAAATTTCATGCTTTTGGTGTCATTATGATTGGGAAAAGATGCTCTTATAATTTCATAAGAAAAAATCATTTTTTTTTTTCGAATATTTTTCGACCCCCAGTGGGACTTCAGGATTGAGGCTCTCGACCCTTAAAGGGTTAAGTAAAGTGTGATTAACAGTGATTTCTAAAGCAAGTGGTGGTGTCATAAGGAATGTGTGAATCTCACTGTTAAGTAGAAACTTGATCTAATAAGGACAGTTGTGTCTGGCATCTCAATGACATGGTAAGTGCCAGTTTGCACCTCATCTCTCCACTACAATAGGTAAGTGAAATTACTGCAAATTATTGTAAAATTAGTATACTGTCCTCAGATGTACATGTACAGCACTATTGTACAGTACAGGCTGCCCACAAAAACACTCCCTGATTTCAAACAGGTATAACATGTAACTTTATTGTAAAAATCTTTCACAGTTAGTATCTTTAGATGCAGGATTTCATTCAGTTTCATGTGGTTAAGGGCAGCATTAAAGGCACTCAATGTGCACCCCTCTGGTTGCTCGGTAAACATCGATGTGATAGTTCTGTTTGGTCCAGACACTCTGCAGCGTATCTGGTGTTATCATGCGAACTATTTCAGTGATCGAAATTTTCAGCCCCTCCAGGGTTGCAGGTAGTAGTGGTACATAAACTGTGCTCTTCACGTACCGCCAAAGAAAGAAGTCACAAACATTTAGGTCCGGTGACCTTGCAGGCCACTTGCAGATGTCACCAGACCTGACTGTTTGTGACTTTTTTCTTTGGGGGTACGTGAAGAGCACAGTTTATGTAACACCACTACCTGCAACCCTGGAGGAGCTGAAAATTTCGATCACTGAAGCAGTTTGCATAATAACACCAGATATGCTGTAGAGCATCTGAACCAAACTGGACTATCACATCAATATTTGCCAAACAACCAGAGGGGCGCATATTGAGTGCCTTTAATGCTACCCTATACTACCTGAAACTGAATGAAATCCTGCATCTGAAGCTTCTAACTGTGAAAGATTATTACAATAAAGTTACATGTTATACCTGTTTGTGATCAGGGAGTGTTTTTGTGGCCACTGTACTTTTCAACTTTATTTTTATATATAATACCTGTATAGTGCTGTACTCTTTTACAGGTTACAGTATTCTTAGTGTCAGGTAGTGTTTTGGTAAACTTTGTAAATAATTACTGTTGTGTTTGTTACATACATTTTATTCTTAATTAAACAGAAATATATCACATGTACTTGTAAAAATGATAACCCTGCTAATATTCTGGATATGAATTAATTCTTACATAAAGATTTGATTATTTTCTCATTTGCATTACAGAACATTGTAGAGAACCTGGGCACACAAAACAGTCCTGTTCGAGACCCTGAGAAGCTGCTTCAAGATATGGATGTCAACAGACTAAGAGCTGTCATATACCGTGATGTGGTATGTATTAAAAATTTTAATTAGTATACCTGTGCAGTACAGTATGTGCATTCTGATATGCAATTTGCCTATACAGAATTTTTATTGGGTCCCATGTGCTCAGGCCGTTGTTGTGTTAACCCGTAAACAGTCCAAACGTATATATACGTTTTTACCGCTTGTGCCCCAAACGTGTATATTTTATATATATATATATATATATATATATATATATATATACGTTTTATTTTTCCTGCCTTCAAATTTGGCATGATTGGCCTGAGATGCCTTGTCAGCATAGAATGGGTTGTGACACTCAGTGTGCGCAGTATTAAAAAAATCTTGGACCACTTAGTACCTTGTGGGAGCACCAATTCAAATGAGCGCCAGCTAGAGCAAACAGCGCAGTAAACACCTTGGATTCACTGATGTCATGTAGTATTAACACTCCCATTTTAAGAGGAAAGTGATTTTGACCCTGAGTTTAGTGGCTTTGAGGTGGATGTGGCCAAAAGTGGTCGAGGAAATATAAAAAAAAACCTCGATAATAACCCATGTGCAATATTTGTGCAACACCCTTTCAGAAAGTCTTATAACCTATGCCCTAAGTAAAGAGAAACAATTCTGGCTGGCTGGCTGGCAGGCTGGCTGCCTGGCTGGCTGACTGGCTGGCTGACTGACTGGCTGATTGGCTGGCTGGCTGGCTGGCTGGCTGGCCAGCTGCATGGCAGCCAGCTGTGTGGCTGGCCGGCTGCTTGTGGCCTGGCTCTATCTCCATTTGTCTGTCTGTATCTATGTCTATGTCTGTCTCTGTCTATCTTTGTCTCTGTCTATCTGTCTCTATCTGTCTCTGTCTATCCCTGTCTATCTCTGTCTCTATCTATCTCTATCTGTCTGTCTATCTCTGTCTCACAGGTACACATAAATACAAGTATACATAGTGTAAATTACCTAGGATAACCCAAAAGATCCAGACAAAGTGCTATACTCTGCTTGAAGATGTGAGTAAACATGCTGATGTGATGACCAAGTCTTGTGGCTCTCTCTTAGACAGAGAGCTAGACAGATAGACAAGGAGCTTGACAGACAAACAGACAGACATGTTTGTGTACCAGCAAAAACAAAGCAGGCCCTAATCTTTTCTTATCAAGTCTTATCACTGCACCCTTGCCAATGCTTATCAAACGTCAGCTCTTATTAAATATTATCTCATCTTATCACGTCACTGTCAGGGGTGGATTTTGTTTTTCATGCTTCAAGGGAACTTATTATTTTATTATTATTACATATTCTTCTTCTTCTCCTCCTCCTCCTCCTCATTCTCCTCATTCTCCTCATTCTTTCTTTCTTTCAACACACCGGTCGTATCCCACCGAGGTGGGGTGGCCCAAAAGGAAAAACGAAAGTTTCTCCTTTTACATTTAGTAATATATACAGAAGGGGTTACTACCACCTTGCTCCTGGCATTGTAGTCGCCTCTAACAACACGCATGGCTTACAGAGGAAAAATTCTGTTCCACTTCCCCATGGAGATAAGAGGAAATAGACAAGAACAAGAACCTTGGGTAGCTTTAAGAAGAGACTGGACAAATATATGAGAGGGAGGGGCTGGGTTTGATTGGTGTCATTGGGTACGGGAGTTATTTCTAGGGAAGCTTTAGGTAGTAGTCATTTTGATAAGGACCTGCCTCGCATGGGCCAGTAGGCCTTCTGCAGTGTTCCTCCATTCTTATGTTCTTATGTTCTTAAGAACTAGAAAGAAAATAGAAGAAAATCCAGAGGGGTATGTATATATAAATGCTTGTACATGTATGTGTAGTGTGACCTAAGTGTAAGTAGAAGTAGCAAGACGTACCTGAAATCTTGCATGTTTATGAAACAGAAAAAAGGACACCAGCAATCCTACCATCATGTAAAACAATTACAGGATTTCGTTTTACACTCACTTGGCAGGACGGTAGTACCTCCCTGGGCGGTTGCTGTCTACCAACCTACTACCTAGGATTCTCCTCATTCTCCTTCTCATTCTCCTTCTCATTCTCCTTCTCCTCCTCATTCTCCTCCTCATTCTCCTCCTCATTCTCCTCCTCATTCTCCTCCTCATTCTCCTCCTCATTCTCCTCCTCCTCCTCCCCCCTCCTCCTCCCTCCTCCCTCCCCCCCCTTCCTCCCTCCTCCCCCCCCCTTTTCCCTCCTCCTCCCCTCCCCCTCCTCCCCCCCTCCCTCCTCCTCCCAAAACATTGCTGGGCCCTATAAATATTTTTGTATATATTCCAAGACCTATTTAATGCCCAAAGGGCAGGTGAAAATGCCCCCTGTCATTTTTGTTTGTGACAATGGGGAGTACAATTTCAGTACCTAATACTAGTTTTCAGAAAAGATTAGTTATGAAATGAAAAAGGGAAACTACTATAAATTTTTAATAATCAAACAAAAAAATTATTTAAATTAATAAAAATTTAAATTACCCTTTGTTCTTTTTTATTTTTCTATTGTCCAGGGGGAAGGGGAAAAGAATTTTTCCCCTCCGAAACCCATGCGTGTGTATGAGGGGGACTAAAATGCCGGAGAAAGGGGCTAGAACCCCTTTTTTCCTGTAAAACAATTATAAAAAAGAGAAGAGAAAAATTTTATAAAACTGGGTTTTTAAAAATTGTGCGTGGATGTAGTGCGGAAACAAAAAAAACAGTTTATTGCTGATGTTATAAATGAAAAGAAGTTGGAGGTCCTGGCCCAAAGAGAAACAAAGCTGAAGGGGGTGGAAGTTTCAGTGGGGGGAAATAAATGGGTTTAAATCTGGAGTATCTGGGAGAGTTAGAGCAAAGGAAGGGGTAGCAGAAAATTTTTAAATGATCATTTTTATGGAAGGAGAAAAGAAATATGAATTAAAAACCCCCCAAAAATTATGGGTTTTAAAAGTAAAGGTTGGATGCAAAAAAGGGTGGGTCTTTATAAGCGTGAAATGCACCGGAAAAAAAGGGGAAATTTTTAGGGAGAGAGAAAATTTTGGGGGGATTTAAGGGGAATGATGGGAGCCTTTAAAACCAAGTGGAAGAGAGTAATTGTGGTGGGGGATTTTAAATGCAAAGTGGGGAAAACTTTTAGAGAGGGTGTGGGGGGTAAAGTTTGGGGTTTCCCAGGTGTAAATGATAAGGGGAAAGCCCTTTGATTGAACTTTGTTTTTAAGGAAAGAGGGTTTTAGTTATAGGTAAAACATATTTTAAGAAAAAAGGGGATAAATAATATACCGATTGATGTGGGGCCAAAATTGACAGTGTTTTTTGGGAAATTATGTTTGGTAGATAAAAGACTGTTGAGTAGATTTCGGGAATGTAAAATTTTTTATAGGGGGGGCCACAAAAATTCAGATCATTTTCTAGTTTTAGCAAACACTGAGGAAAAAGGGTTTTAATGGGATAAAAAGGGAAAAATGGGAAGACCCGGGAAAAGAGAGAGGTAAAGGGTTTTAAACAAAAGGGGGAGGAAATTTGGGTATGAATAAACATTTATTGGAGGATGAGGGGTAATGAAGCATAGGCAAGGGGGTCAAGAGGTAGGGGGTGGGTTTAAAAATGTATTTTAGAGTGTTCAGCAAAGTTTGGGTTAAGGAAAGGGGGGGCAGGGGGGAAGAGGAGCGATTGGGGGAAAAGATAATTGTAAAGAGAGTATTTAAAGGGAGAAAAAGTTGCTTTAAAGAATTTTTTAAAAAGTAGAATGAGGGCCAAGGGGGGAAGGGGTAAAGGGAAAAAAAAGGAGAGGTTAAGGAGTGGTAAAAGCAATGAAAAAGGAGCAAATGAGAAAAAGTGGGGGGAGATGTTTCAACAAATTTTTTTTTAAAATAAGAAAAATTTGGGGGAAATTTGGATTACAATTTAAAGGAAAGCCTAGAGAACAAATTGTTTTGTAAATTTAAAAAATAGGAGAGGAGAGTTATTAAAGGGAAAGATTTTGGGGTTTTGGGGGAAGATGGAAGGATTTTTGAGGAATTGTTAAATGTTGAAAAGGATAGGGAAGCTGTGTTTTCGGGGATAGGGCAAGGGGGAATAACATCTTTTTGGAAAAGTGAGGAAGACCCCATTTTTTGAGTGTGGGGGAATTTTTGAGGCAGTGGGAAAAAAAGGGAAAGGGGGGAAAGGCAGCCGGGATTGATGGGATAAAGATAGAAATTTTTAAAAGCAGGTGGGGATATAGTTTTGGGTGGTTGGGAAAAAAAATTTTTTAATAAAATGAAAGGAAAAAGGGTAAGGTACCTGGGGTTTGGGGCAAGGAGCATGCTTATTTCCCTTGTTTTAAAAGGCAAAGGGGATAAAAAAAGAGTGAAAAAATTTTCCGGGGGAAAAGTCTGTTGAGTGTCCCTTGGAAAAGTGTATGGAAAGGTTATAATTGAAAAATTTAAGAGTAAGACGGAAAATAGGATAGCAGATGAAAAAGGGAAGGTTTTTAGGAAAGGTGGGGGGTGTGTGGACCAGGTGTTTACAGTGAAACATATAAGTAAACCAGAAATTTAGATAAGGCAAAAGAGGTTTTTTGTGGCTTTTAAGGTTTGGGGAAAAGGCGTATGACGGGGGATGGGGGGGCAATGGGGCAGATGTTGAAAGGTTTTATGGTGTGGGGGGTGGTTTACTGAAAGAATTTAAGAGTTTTTACGAGGATAGTAAAGGCTCATTAGGAAATTTTGGGAAAAGGGGGGGAAAATTTTTTCCCCCGTAAAAGTGGGGGCCTTAGAAAAGGGAGGTGTATGTCCCCGTGGTTTTTTAATTTATATTTATAGATGGGGTTGTAAGAGAAGTAAATCCCGGGGGGGTTTGGCAAGAGGGCGTGGATTAAAAGAAAAAAGAATCACACACAAAGTGGGATTTGTCAAAAGTGCTTTTTGCTGATGACACGGGTGCCTTGGGAAAATTCTGAAGAGAATTTGCAGGTTTGGGGGATAAATTTTTGGGTGGGGTGTGCAAAAAAAAAAAATTAAAGGTAAAATACCGAAAAGTAAGGTTATGGGATAACAAAAAGATTAGGTGATAAAATTGAATTCAGATTGGAGGGAGAGAGTATGGAGGGGTGCGTTAATTCAATATTTGGGAGTGGACGTGTCAGCGGAGGGGTTATGAAAGATGAGGTGAATCATAGAATTGATGGGGGAAAAAAAAAGTGAGTGGTGCATTTAAAGGAGTCTTTTGGAAAGGACAAAAAACTTTGTCCTTTGGGGGCAAAGAGGGGGAAAGATGAGAGTTATATTTTTACCAAAGCTTTATATGGGTGTGAAAACGTGGGGGATGGGAAAAGTTGCCGCGAGGGGAAGGGGAGGCAGTTGGGGAATTTTGTCTGAGGGCCAAAGTGTGGTTTTGAATAAAAATCGGGGGAATTCCCGGGTTTTGGGGAAATTAGGAGGTGCGGGATTACCAAAAAATGTTTTCCAGAGGGCTGAGGAAAGGGGTTTTTGAGGTGGTTCGGAAAATTTAGAAAAGAAAAGGAGCGGGAAAAAGAATGACCCTTTAAGAGTGTATCGTCTGTAGTGGAAGGGGAAACGGGGTTGGGGTCGGCCTAGGGAAAGGGGGTTTGGGGGGAGGGGGAAAGGAGGTTTTTAGTGCAGGGGCTTGGACTTCCCCGCAGGGGTGCCCTGGCCCGGTTTTATAGGGGGAATGGAGACAAAAGGTTTTTAAACTTTTACGTGCTTTTTGGAGTGTTTAGCAAAGTAACTTTTTTGAAAGGGGTTCAGGGGGGAAAACCCGGGAGGGCCCGGGCTTGAGTCCTGGGGGATGGAAGTACATGCCTGGGACTCTGAAGGGGGGGGGTTTTTAATGTTGCAGTTTAAAAACTGTAGTGAAAACACCCTTTGGCAAGACAGTGATGGGGGTGAAAGAAAAGGGAAAGTTTTTTTTTCGGGGCCCCCCGTTGGGGGAATCGGGCCGGGGGTGATAATTTTAAAAAATTAAAATGAAAATGGGGAAAAAAATATATTTTGGCAACACTTCTGCCCCTTGGGGGTTGTCCATTTTTTCCCGGGCCCGGTGATTTCCCAAATGCCAACTTTGCACCTTTATATCTTGGAAATTTCTGACCCAAAAAAAAAATTTTTTTTTTTCCTAAACCCCTTTGAAAAATTTTCTCTTTCCTTTTTTTAAAAAAAGAAAAAAAAATTTATTTTTTTAAAAAATTCGGGGACTGAAGGGTTTGTGAACGTTTTATATAACGTTTGGACCGTTTTAAAAAGGGTTAAAAAGGCAAATGAGCAAGGCGTAAATTTTTAGCAGCAGTTATCCATGTTTTGTAAAATTTTGCTATTTTCACGAAAGGGGAAGCTGAAGTGTATTTAAAAAAATTCCCTTTGTCCCCTATTGCGGGTCTTTTTTTTTTTTCTTTTGAAATCAAAAAGTAAATGAACTTAAAACTAGGTTTTTAAAATTTAAAGTATACACTTCCTTAATTTTTTTTTTGTTTTTTAAAAATTCCTTTTGTCCGTAAACATGGACCCCCCGGGTTAACGATTTTTTTTTTCACTCCGAAATATGTTCAAGGGGCCAGTACTGACCCCCAATTTGTTCCCATAAAGGGAAAATTGTGAAATAGATTAGTTTTATTTTTAGGGCCCCCCAAAAAAACCCCGTACAAACGCACTTACTTTAAAAACAAATTACTAATTGGTCGCTTCGGAGGTAATCATTATGCGGGGGTCCCTGTATTTGCATTAATTTTTGGAAGCAAGTTCTGAGAGTGGGGCTGTGGGTGATGATCCCCGCAAAAAGTTTAAAAGATTACAATGGAAAACCCTCATCAAATGTGTTTTGATTTGTTTAGATTTTATGTATAAAAATATTAGTAAAGAATATTGAATGTATGAATCAATTTTGTGTGTCATTAGAAAATTATGAAATGGGAAATTAAATTTAATTTTTGCATCTTAACTTATCCACAAGTTCAGCTCATTCTCATTTCCAAAGTAATCTTCTGTTTAAAATTTACAAGTTAAATGATGGTTTAGGTTCCTGATATATAATTAAAAATGCTTTCAAAAATTATTTTCTTGGCTCAAATTTTAATAATGACATGTTAATTGATACATAGTAGGTTGGTAGACAGCAGCTGCCCAGGGAGGTACTACCGTACTGCCAAGTGCGTGTAAAACGAAAGCCTGTATTTGTTTTATGTGATGGTAGGATTGCTGGTGTCTTTTTTTTGTCTCATAAACATGCAAGATTTCAGGTACGGTACGTCTTGCTACTTCTACTTACACTTAGGTCACACTACATATGCATGTACACATGTATGTATACATACTCATCTGAGTTTTCTTTGATTGTATCTTAATAGTTCTTGTTCTTATTACTTTTCCTTTCACATCCATGGGAAAGTGGAATAAGAATCTTTCCTCTGTAAGCCATGCATGTTGTAAAAGTCAACTAAAATGCCGGGAGCAGTGGGCTAGTAACCCCTTTTCCTGTATAGTCTACTAAAAAGAAAAAGAAGAAAACTGTCAAAGTGGGAAGGAGGGGGTAAAGGGAGTTTTGTGGGTGAGGGGCTTGGACTACCAGCAAGTGTGTGTGTGTGTGTGTGTGTGTGTGTGTTAGATAGGAGTAAATGGAGACGAATGGTTTTTGGGACTTGATGAGCTGTTGGAGTGTGAGCAGGGTAATAGTTAGTGAAGGGATTCAGGGAAACCAGTTATATTGATTTAGCCTGGACTTGAGTCCTGGAAATGGAAAGTACAGTGCCTGAACTTTGAAGGAGGGGTCTGAGATATTGACACTTTGAAGGGACTTCTAAACTGTTGTATCTGAGCATCTCTGCAAAGGCAGTGATTATGTATGAGTGAAATGAAAGTGTTGAATGATGATGAAAGTATTTTCTTTTTGGGGATTTTTCTTTTTGGGTCACTCTGCCTCAGTGGGAGACGGCCGACTTGTTGTAAAAAAAAAAAAAATGTATGAAAGAGGGAAAGGTACCTAGGAATTGGCAGAGAGCATATATAATTCCTTTATATAAAGGGAAGGGGGACAAAGATTGTAAAAATTATAGGGAAATAAGTTTACTGAGTATAACAGGTAAAGTGTATGGTAGGGTTAATATTGAAAGAATTAGAGGTAAGAGAGAGAGAGCAAGATTGCAGATGAGCAAGGAGGCTTAAGAATGGGTAGGGGATGTGTAGATCAGGTGTTTACATTGAAACATCTATGTGAACAGTATTTAGATAAAGGTAGGGAAGTTTTCATTTCTTTTATGGATTTAGAAAAGGCATATGATAGAGTGGATAGGGGAGCAGTGTGGCAGATGTTGCAAGTATATGGAATAGGTAGTAAGTTAGTAAATGCTGTAAAGAGTTTTTATGAGGATAGTGAGGCTCATGTTAGGGTTTGTAGGAGAGAGGAAGATTTCTTCTGGGTAAAAATAGGTCTTAGACAGGGGTGTATAATGTCACCATAGTTGTTTAACATATTTATAGATGGGGTTGTACAAGAAGTAATTGCTAGGGTGTTGGAGGGAGGGGCGGGATTAAGTTATGGGGAATCAAATACAAAATGGGAGTTGACACAGTTACTTTTTGCTGATGATACTGTGCTTTTGGGGGATTCTAAAGAAAAGTTGCAAAGGTTAGTGGATTAGTTTGGGAGGATGTGTAAAGGTAGAAAGTTGAAAGTGAATATAGGTAAGAGTAAGGTGATGAGTGTATCAAATGATTAAGATAAAGAAAAATTGGATATCACATTGGAGGGAGGGAGGGAGTATGGTAGAAGTGAATGTTTTAAGATATTTGGGAGTTGACTTGTCAGCACATGGGTTTATGAAGGATGAAGTAAACCACAGAATTGTTGAAAGAAAAAAGGTGAGTGGTGCATTGAGATATCTGTGGAGACAATGAACATTATCTATGGAGGCAAAGAAGGGAATGCATGAGAGTATAGTGGGTGTGAAGCAAGGGTTGTAAATGCTGCAGCAAGGAGGCGGCTACAGGCAGTGGAGACGTCATGACTAAGGGCAGTGTGGTGTAAATATTATGCAGAGAATTTGTAGTGTGCAAATTAGGAGGTGGTTTGGAGTTACTAAAAGTATTAGTCAGAGGGCTGAAAGGGGGCTGTTGAGGTGGTTTGGTCATTTAGAGAAAATGGAACAAAGTAGAATGACTTGGAGAACATATAAATCTATTGGGGAAGGAAGGTGGTGTAGGCGTCGTCCCTGAAAAGGTTGGAGGGAGGGGATAAAGGAAGTCTTCTGGGTGAGGGGCTTGGACTTCCAGCAAGTGTGCCTAAGCGTGTTAGATAGGAGTGAATGGAGATCAATGGTTTTTGGGACCTGACGAAGTGTTGGAGTGTGAGCAGGGTAATATATTGTTAAGGGATTCAGGGAAACTGGTTAGCCAGACTTAAGTCATGGAAATGGGAAGTACAATGCCTGCACTTTCAAGGAGGGGTTTGGGATATTGGCAGTTTGGAGGGTCGTCTAAACTGTCGTATCTGATCGTCTCTGCAAAGATAGTGATTATGTATGGGTGATGGTGAAAATGTTGAATGATTAAAGTTTTTCTTTTTTTTTGGGGGGGGAGGGGTTCTTTGTTTTTGGGTCACCCTGCCTGTGGGAAATGGCCGAAGTGTTAAAAAAAAAATGTTAAATTTTTGTGTTAATAAAGTTCCTTTTAATTACATTGCAGGAAGAAACCAAGCAAGCGCAGTTTCTATCTTTAGCAATTGTTTACTTTATCTCTGTGCTAATGGTATCAAAATATAGAGATATTCTTGAACCTCCTACCAACCCTCCCTCCTCGCCGCCACCGCCACCACATGCTCCTCATACCAATGGTGCATTTACACAACATCATTTCTCAGGTGAGCTCTCATCTTTGTTATTATTATATATTGCTGTCTGCATAAGCTACTGTATAGTATTTTATATCATACAACAATTAATAATTTGAATAATGTACATTGAATATTGAAAGATATAAATTTAAGTAAGACAGAAGGCTAAGGAGGGATTGTTGAGGTGGACATAAAAATCTGGGGTGGAGGGAAGGAAGGGTAGGGATCATCTCGGAAATAGTTGGAGGGAGAGGGTAAAGGAGGTTTTGAGTGCTTGGGGCTTGAACATCTAACAGACTTGTGTGAAGGTTAGATTGGACTGAGTGGAGGCAAGTGTTTTTCAGCCTTGATGTGCTTTCAGTGTGTACAAAGTAGCATTTATTGGATTCAGGGAAACCAACTAGCTGGACTTGAGTCCTGGAAGTGGGGAATACAGTGCCTGCACCTTGCAGTTCAGAGGACCAGCTGAACTGTAATGCTAGCACACTTCTGGCAAAGGCAATGATTAAATGAATGATGATAAATATGTTACCTCTCTTTTTGTTGGTGGGGTGGGGGGTGGGGAGGGGTCATCCTACCTCTGTGGGAAATGGTGCCCTGTTAAAAATAGTTTTAATTGTGCCAGCTTTTAGAGAGTAAGAAGAGAGAGGAGGAAGGGACAGATGTAGACTGTACAGATTGACAGAAACTTTGATAGCAGCTTGTGTTAAAAGATGCTTCTGACTGTCCTCTTATCAACTTTTCTTGATACAGAAAATACAGCCAAAAATAGTGAGAGTGAAAAGTGTGAAGAGAAGAAGAAGATAAATACTGTAGATGTAGGAGATGCAGGCATAATGCAAGTATCAAATCAAGCTAAGAAACCAGTTAAGGATAAAGGGGAGGAGGCTGCTGTTTTGCCCACTGATATTCCTACAACTGTTTCTGCTGTAGATGTAAAGGATTTGGGAAAATCAAAAGATCTTAAAGCTTTATCTGTAACTATTCCGACTTTAACCTTGTCTGTATCACAGTCAACTCTCAAGCAGACAAATGCAACAGTAACTGTAAAATCATCTTCACCTGTTAAGAAAGATCAGCTTGTAGGCGCAGTCAGTTCAACACACAGTGGAAAAGATGTATCACGTCCCACAAAGAAGAGTGATCTCAGTCTTCCTACATTTTATCAGACATTGAATCCAAAGTTTATGCCAGGAAGTTCCTCAACTGGATTGTTTGGGAAAGCAAAAGAGAAGAATTGGAAGCTGTCTGTCATTAGGGGTCATGGGAAGTTTCGAAAGGAGCACTCGCAATCTTCAACATCAAAAGATTCTTGTGAAGTTCCGGCTGTCAAGAAGTACAATGATGTGGAAGGTACTTTGTAGAAATATGAAATCACGTAGAAGCATTGAAGCATTGTGGCACTTGCTGTTATGAAAATTACACAGAATAATTATTGTTTGTCTCAAATTTCACGGTTGTGTGTGTATTCATTAGTTCCTTCATTATGTGCAGGAATGTTCTTTCACTGTGTATGTCACTATAAATTTGTTTTTATTTTCCAGCTTTTGTATAATGAGCAATATATCCTTACAAACCAGATTTTAGAACATATTAAAGTATTAATGTATAAGAGAACCTTACAATGTTGGCAGTACTGCAGTACAGTATATAACAGTCAGGTAGTGTATTTGCTTCAGAATGTTAATTTTCCTTTTCTGATGGAGTAATACTCTTGGAGTTAAATATTGGCTCCGATACCTGATTTGCACATTTTTCTTTATTATTTTTAATCTTATCTTTATTTCACTTTCGGTTGCATTATTTTAGAATATGTTAAACACTGATTAAAACAATGTGGCAAAGTAACTTTTTCATTATAATCATTAATGGTTAATTTTGTTACAATTATACTTATAATGAAGAAAAATGCTAAGGTAAAATGCTCACTAGATTCCTATCTTGTTATTGTATAGTAATGTACAATTTTGCTTTTAGCTATACAGTATCAGAATTTTACATTTGATGTTGTAAATTCAACTAAATAGGTTCTTATCTATTCGAAACACCTGATTGTTGTGTGTACACATTCTTAAACATTATTCTAGGAAAGTTTAGATTAAGTCCATGTTAGATATTAGTCATACATATATCACAGCTAGAGACTTATTGAAAATTGTGTACTGTTAGAATATATACTTTTTTTTTACTTAAAATTTTGTATTATAATTCTTAACAGGGCTGGATGCAGCACAAAAGCATCTATTGTATGCCCCACACCAATGAATATTTGTAGTTGGGTAATAGATACACACCATAGATTTTTATTCTGTTTTATAATCTTCGCAATTTTTTTTTTTAATATGAAAAATGTACACTTTTAGTTTAAAAATGAACATTATAGCCTTGAACCAGAACACAAAATAATACCAAGAAAGGTCATTGTTAGCGAAAAAGTAGTAGATTACAAGAGGACAGGGGAGGAAAATGGTATTTGGAAACTGTTGATTATATTACACAACACTACAATATATGCAGTATAAGTAAATAGATAATTACTCACTCACCCACACTCATACAGCATGCTGAAGGAAAACTGACTAACAGTTGGTCACCTGCACTCTGGTTGTGTGTGAACTTTGAACATATATTGGGACTCAAAATTTCAATTACAGAACTTAAAGAAATTTGAAAATCAAAATTACTGTTGATGTAAATATTTTAACTGAATAGATTTTTAAACCTTAGATAATTGTAGTCAACTGGTGTCTTGTTATATTTTAGAAGTATTTGTCAGTCAGAATTATTACATGATAAGTTTTGTCACCCTGCCTCAGTGGGAGACAGCCAGTGTGTTAAAAAAGGTATATGATCTTTTTCTGTGCAGTGAGTCTTAAAAATAAAGTGATGCACATGCCCCTCAGAGCAACTGTGAACCCAAATGTTTGGGAACATTTAATGCTTTTTTGCTGTGTGATGCTTGTAATCATGTATATGGTTGGTATTTTTGTTTAATAAATGTATGATGATGAAAGTATTTTCTTTTTGGGGATTTTCTTTCTCTTTGGGTCACCCTGCCTCGGTGGGAGACGGCCGACTTGTTAAAAAAAAAAAAATGTATGAAAGAGGGGAAGGTATCTAGGGATTGGCAGAGAGCATGTATAGTCCCTTTATATAAAGGGAAGGGGGACAAAAGAGATTGTGAAAATTATAGAGGAATTAGTTTACTGAGTATACCAGGAAAAGTGTACGGTAGGGTTATTATTGAAAGAATTAGAGGTAAGACAAAATGTAGGATTGCGGACGAGCAAGGAGGTTTCAGAGTGGGTAGGGGATGTGTAGATCAAGTGTTTACATTGAAGCATATATGTGAACAGTATTTAGATAAAGGTAGGGAAGTTTTTATTGCATTTATGGATTTAGAAAAGGCATATGATAGAGTGGATAGGGGAGCAATGTGGCAGATGTTGCAAGTATATGGAATAGGTGGTAAGTTACTAAATGCTGTAAAGAGTTTTTATGAGGATAGTGAGGCTCAGGTTAGGGTGTGTAGAAGAGAGGGAGACTACTTCCCGGTAAAAGTAGGTCTTAGACAGGGATGTGTAATGTCACCATGGTTGTTTAATATATTTATAGATGGGGTTGTAAAAGAAGTAAATGCTAGGGTGTTCGGGAGAGGGGTGGGATTAAATTATGGGGAATCAAATTCAAAATGGGAATTAACACAGTTACTTTTTGCTGATGATACTGTGCTTATGGGAGATTCTAAAGAAAAATTGCAAAGGTTAGTGGATGAGTTTGGGAATGTGTGTAAAGGTAGAAAGTTGAAAGTGAACATAGAAAAGAGTAAGATGATGAGGGTATCAAATGATTTAGATAAAGAAAAATTGGATATCAAATTGGGGAGGAAGAGTATGGAAGAAGTGAATGTTTTCAGATACTTGGGAGTTGACGTGTCGGCGGATGGATTTATGAAGGATGAGGTTAATCATAGAATTGATGAAGGAAAAAAGGTGAGTGGTGCATTGAGGTATATGTGGAGTCAAAAAACGTTATCTTTGGAGGCAAAGAAGGGAATGTATGAAAGTATAGTAGTACCAACACTCTTATATGGGTGTGAAGCTTGGGTGGTAAATGCAGCAGCGAGGAGACGGAGGCAGTGGAGATGTCCTGTCTAAGGGCAATGTGTGGTGTAAATATTATGCAGAAAATTTGGAGTGTGGAAATTAGGAAAAGGTGTGGAGTTAATAAAAGTATTAGTCAGAGGGCAGAAGAGGGGTTGTTGAGGTGGTTTGGTCATTTAAAGAGAGAATGGATCAAAGTAGAATGACATGGAAAGCATATAAATCTATAGGGGAAGGAAGGCGAGGTAGGGGTCGTCCTCGAAAGGGTTGGAAAGAGGGGGTAAAGGAGGTTTTGTGGGTGAGGGGCTTGGACTTCCAGCAAGCGTGCATGAGCGTGTTAGATAGGAGTGAATGGAGACGAATGATACTTGGGACCTGACGATCTGTTGGAGTGTGAGCAGGGTAATATTTAGTGAAGGGATTCAGGGAAACCGGTTATTTTCATATAGTCGGACTTGAGTCCTGGAAATGGGAAGTACAATGCCTGCACTTTAAAGGAGGGGTTTGGGATATTGGCAGTTTGGAGGGATATGTTGTGTATCTTTATATGTGTATGCTTCTAGACTGTTGTATTCTGAGCACCTCTGCAAAAACAGTGATAATGTGCGAGTGTGGTGAAAGTGTTGAATGATGATGAAAGTATTTTCTTTTTGGGGATTTTCTTTCTTTTTTGGGTCACCCTGCCTCGGTGGGAGACGGCCGACTTGTTGAAAAAAAAAAAATATATATATATATATATAACAAAAAAGGCACAATACCGTGACTGGAACGATACACAAATAACCCGCACATAGGAGAGAGGAGCTTACGACGACATTTCAGTCAGACTTCGACCATTTACAAAGTCACACTAACGAAAAGGAGAGCGGGAAGGGTATATATAGGCAGGAGGTAGTAGTAGTAATGGAGGTGGAAGGAAGTAGTAGTGGGGAGGTAGTAAGAGGAGGAGGAGCCAGTCAAATACTAAGAAAGAGGAGCACTGCAAGGGCGCTAGGTGCCCGCAGAGGGTAAGAGCAAGAACACCGAGGGGGGGAAAAATAAATACAAATAAATACTAATAAATAGGTAGTAGGTTGGTAAACAGCAACCGCCCAGGGAGGTACTTCTGTCCTGCCAAGTGAGTGTAAAACGGAAGCCTGTAATTGTTTTACATGATGGTAGGATTGCTGGTGTCTTTTTTCTGACTCATAAACATGCAAGATTTCAGGTACGTCTTGCTACTTCTACTTACACTTAGGTCACAGTACACATACATGTACAAGCATATATATACACATCCCTCTGGGTTTTCTGCTATTTTCTTTCTAGTTCTTATTCTTGTTTATTTCCTCTTATCTCCATGGGGAAGTGGAACAGAATTCTTCCTCCGTAAGCCATGCGTGTTGTAAGAGGCGACTAAAATGCCAGGGGCAAGGGGCTAGTAACCCCTTCTCTTGTATAAATTACTAAAATTAAAAAGGGAAACTTTTGTTTTTCTGTTTGGGCCACCCTGCCTTGGTGGGATACGGCCGGTTTGTTAAAAAAAAAAAAAAATGGTACAGAAGAAAGACAACCCGAAGGTTGTCTTTCTTCTGCACTGTGTATTTGTTCCTTATTTATTTATTTATTTTCCCCCCCTTGGTGTTCTTGCTCTTACCCTCTGTGGGCACCTAGCTCGTTCGCAGTGCTCCTCTTTCTTAGTATTTGACTAGCTCCTTCCCCTCTTACTACCTCCCCATTACTACTTCCTTCCACCTCCTCCACTACTACTGCTGCTGCTGCTGCCGCTGCCACTGCCGCCGCCGCCGCCGCCGCCGCCGCCGCCGCCGCCGCCGCCGAGAGATTCTGGGAGATGTTAAGCAAGTGTGTAGGAACTTGTGAGCCAAGTGAAAGAGTAATTGTGGTAGGGGACCTAAATGCTAAAGTAGGAGAAGCATATAGAGAAGGTATGGTAGGTAAGTTTGGGGTGCCAGGTGTAAATAATAATGGAGAGCATTTGATTGAACTTTGTATAGAAAGGGACTTGGTTATAGGTAACACAAATTAAAAAAAACAAAGTGGATTAAGTATACAAGATATGATGTAGGGTGAAATGACAGTAGTTTGTTGGACTGCATATTGGTAGATAAAAGATTGTTGGATAGACTTCAGGATGTACATGTTGATAGAGGGGCCACAGATATATCAGATCACTTTTTAGTTGTAGCTACACTGAGAGTAAAAGGTAGATGGGATAAAAGGAACGTGGAAGCAGCAAGTAAGAGAGAAGTG